ATCCAGACTGCAGAGTCAAGTTAGTTTATTTTAGTACTAAACTTCCAACAATGACATGCGTAGTCTTATTGTGATGATAATAAATTGTGACCATAATTGACAAAAGGTACCTTATGGCGGATAGGAAAATTGGTCTTTATAGCCTTTAAAATCTAATTTCCTGAGCTCCATTTATCATGAAATTACTCCAGAGGATGCAAAAAGTTACTATGTAACTTTTAGAAACAGTAGTTGTCTAATAGAGCACTCAAAGATTGATATTTTTCATCATAATGATGAATTTTAAAATCCGCCATAAGGTACCTTTTGTCAATTATGGTCACAATTAATGACAACTACTGGTCTGTTGGCATGGCTCTGTACTCTTAACAATAGCTAAGTACATAATGTATAACATGTAGGGGATATTATATGTACATTATACATGTTCTTAATACTGTATAGCTCCAAATTTCCGTCAGTCAAAAATTTTGTCAAAAATCTTAATTTCTTGTTTTCACCAATAAAACTTTCGTCGTTTTTGTTATTAACTCACATACTACTCACATGGAACAAAAATTTTGCCAAGCAAAAATACCTGACAAATTTGACAAAAATTATGACCGACAAAAATTTGGAGCTACACAGTAATAGATTATTGCATGTACTGTACATCTTAAAAGTTTTCGTATCAATACATGACTACCTCTCACATGTGACACTGTTATATATACATACAGATGCATAAGATCAGACCTGTAAGCATCTTTTTATCATCTCTCTCTATCTCTTGGAGCCATTGAGGCACTGATGGGGTGGCAGAGTCCAGTTCACCAACTGTGCACATAAAACGAGTTTTAATTGACATTATTGGATTATACTGAGTGCTTACAACAATTCTGATCAGGCCACATCACTGGTGAATGTGAAATACGCTCATTAGACATCAAATTTTGACTAGGATTTTGTGACTCTTCGTCCTCCATTTTGATTTTAACACGCCCCGTTATTGGGTACGCCCACTTAATTAAAATGGCCTCTTGGATTTGTCTCGAAGACTCTAGAATCAGCTAGACTCTAGAGTCATCTCGAACAGCAGGTTACAGCACTAGAACTTGAAGACCGTATTTGTAGCTTTGAGAACAATCGAGAATTTGAGAGAGAGAGAGAGGGTCAAGAGTGAAGGTTCTAGAATATTATAGAAAGACTTGAGAGTTTGCATAAAAAGCTAACATGACATTGACACAAGTAGATTTAGATTATCCTTATCATTGGAGCAATACTGAAGAGAACTATTACGTACCCCTGCCTCCTAACTGGGAAATGAAAATGGACCTTTTCACTGGCTGGCCTTTCTTTGTCGACCATCCAAACAGACGCACTACTTGGTTGGATCCTCGCTACGACCCAGGAGTTTTACGATCATCAAGAGGGTATCATCCATCAAATCATTGGTGTAATGGGATGCCTAATTCGCATACTATGGGATATCCGTATGCTGATCCTTATTATGCTAATCCATACAGTAGTGATCCCTACCATGTTAGTCCTTTTGGCTATGATACCTTGAGGTCGGGTTACCCATTAAAGAAATCCGGTCCACTCAATCCTCACACTCCCAGACGTGGTAAGAGCCAGCCTTCTGTCGCCACGAAACAAAATATTGAGACTAAACCATCTGTACCTGACAGACACTCATCTCCGCATCCCTCTACCTCCTCTACTCCTCTTTCCCCTCCTCCATCAAGGGATGTACTACGTGCCACCTCTACCTCCCCCTCTTCAGAAAATAAACCCTCTGTAACAGAGCCCATCGTTCCTGCTGTTGCTGTGGAAACGGCAGGTACTGAGTCAGGAGCTGACCCTGTGGTAAAGGACAATGATGCTCCTGCTCCTGCAGAGATGGACAATGTGTCAGAGGTACATGATAATGTGAAAGAAGAAGCGGGTGACAAATCTGATGAAGCAGTAGATAATATGCAAGAAGAAGCGGGCGATGAATCTGACGATGTCACCATGGAAGATGATTCAGTCCTATCAGAAGACGATATAAAAGCAAAGCTTGAACTCATTGATTCTATCTCAGCGGAAGCAACAGCGAATCTCAAGAGTCGAATTGAGAGTTTCCAAGGAACAAGTTCCTCCAAGGAGTACCTCTACATATCGGAGACCTTGCTATCTATTATACTGAAGCTGGACAGTGTATCTACAGATGGTAATGAGAGAATCAGGAATCATAGGAAAGGAACCATTGTTAGCATTCAAGACATGCTAAGAGAACTCGAAGAAAGAGCAAAACTTGATAGCTGATCTCTTATATCAATAAACAGTTATAAACTGATCCATATCATTATGTCATTTATGTGTTAATGTACATTATTTTAGTTAATAATTATTGTTTGTTATTTTTAAAATGTGTTTACAAATTACTTCAGTTAATAATCATACCAGGTTTGTCATACTGTTGCTACGTTGCTATGGAGCTCGGAAATATTTACATAAAGAGAGCAACACGCTTTATCATAGCAACATAGTAGAGATAGAAGGGCTGAGTGGCTCCTTTGGAGTTCGTATAGGCGTTAAATTGAATACATACGTAATACAGTTAGCCTTTGTACCAATAATGTGAGTGAGTAAAAGCATACATCTCCATGCACAGACAAGTATTTCCCCTAAAATAATATCAAGGAAAAGAGCCATTTGGCCCTTACCATAGACAAGGAATGCTTTAATGCTTTAATACTCTCCACACCCTACACTTCACTGGTATTGTATTTTTAAGAAAGTAGAATTTATTATTTGAATTTGCACATGCACACACTAATTGGCTTAATAATAGTAATGACTGGATTGCAATAAAATTGCTCCAAGTGATTTGTCACCCCAAGGCAAATAGGTCAATTACTCAATAAGGATAGAGTAAACAGTCGAACAATGCTTCATCCCACCTACTATATAGTTTTGTAACATGCAATTAGCATACAATAAGAACATGACAAAATCGCTACGCATGACCCCATTCACCATTCAAATCTTTCCCTAAACGAATTCAATTGGAATTTGAACTTGGCTCTAACAGTTCCGCAAGTTCTGCTTCCAAATAAGGAATTAGAATTGTAATTACTGCTAAACCCAGTATATACTGGCGTAAATTCACTTGCTAGACGCTTTTCAACAGTATAAAGCGAAAAGTGACCTCCCTCTTAATTCCCATTAATGCATGAATAGTATGTGAGATATCTATGTGTACATACTTGTGTTACAGCTAGTGTGAGTTTTCAGTCCAGTAAAAGCAATCCCCTGATGATTCATTGTTTTCTAAATGAAAGAAAATTAAGTGTATGTTTATTCTCTGTAGATGTATGTTTACTTGAAAGCTCATGCAATCATCAGTTGAACACTAAAGCCTGTACCACTGCAGACAATATGTATTCCCTTAGGAAAGTAAGGAAACTCCTACCAAGAAAAACAACAGTACATGTAGTATATTTGACTATAATAGTATAATTATGCCTGTGCAGGCACGCCCACGAGACTGTTGCACATAAAAGCGAGTGGAGAAGCCCAAAGGCCAGAAAGCTGTGTTCTGTAGCAAATATAGCAAGGAGCTAACTTCATCCCTCTCTTAACATGTCGGCCCTCTGTTTGGCTTTCCTTACCATTATTGCACTCCTCTCTGAGATCAATGGTCTCCCAACAACTAGCCCCACTAGAAACAGCTCGACAACTACAGCAGTCAACAGAAGTACAAGATCACTATTATCCGGCGACGATAATTTGGTGATCACTGAAGTACAGAACCAAGTAAGTAGCTTAATCACGAGTGTTGAAATGTCCTTTTCAAACCTGTTCTTGATTTTTTTTAGTCATGCATGCTTCAATATTATATTATTTCAGTATTTGCACTATTATCTTTCTTTTCTGATAGTGCTGTCACTACTCTGATACGTGTTGTGAAGGCATTTTGGCAAATCATGCAAAGGAAGTAAAAGCCAAGAATTGCATCAAAAAAAATGATAAACAGCAAGACTTAAAATCTAAAGAGAAGTGCCCAATCCCAAGCAAGATACTGAAAAAGGTAAGTCATCAAATGAGTGCTAATGAATCTGTTCAGTACTAAACCAGATAATCAATTAATTGTAGCAAAATATTTTGTATAACAAAATAAACAACATCTTCATTCCTTTACATAGACCCAAGGAAGAGAACTCTACTGCAGTGTCCTCAACATAATCGACAAAGAAATCGTAACAGATGTGATTCCAAAGTTGGCAGCAACTAACAGCTGCATTGCTTATGATGGAAGCAACAAGGAGATCAGGGAGCCGGCTCACTTTGTAAATACTGTTAGAGCATGGCTGGACAGTATGGTAAGTATTTTAAATTTATTTGTTGCATGCAATATGATTTAATGTTTTTCCTTCCCTTACTTATAGCGTGAGACTCATACAACAGAAAACTGCTGTTTCCAAGCTCACAACATAACCCAAGAGGAAGAAGAAGAGTTTGTTTCAAAATGGATATTCACCATTGACGAAACAATTACAGATCCTGAAGAACGTGCAAGAGCAAAAGCACAACAAAAAGTAGACTGCACTAAGCAATGGAGTGAGGCACTGTACCATTTATCACTATACATGAACACTGTTGAGATGCTAGAATCACTTGGAAGAAGAAAGTCTTGCTTGAGAGGATGCGTTGGCGAAGAGGGCGTTAAATGCGCTAAACATTATCTCTTTGGAACTCAATCAAGCTAAATAATAATTATTATTATATTAATGTTATTATTATTATTACTATTTATTTATGTTTTAAACTATAATCATCAACTCATTGTTAGTCCTCTCTATATATTATATTATATATTTATGCATTTATTACGGCAATGATAATAATTATTACAATGACAACTTAGAAATACCTGCAAACGATAATTGCCTAAGATTTGAGAGAGCTGCCAGGCCAAATATAGTGTGAAAAAATCTGCCCCAACAACAAAGTTGGTAGTTTTATCAGCCACAAGCAGATGCTGTGCTCAACTACCATTCAACCACTAACCCACTAATAATGGTGCATTGACAATCAGGCCAAACCTGCTTGCTGCATAGTGACAGCTCCATCATAATCAGTGCATATAGTGAGAGCCTCAAATAATGCACATGCTAAAGAAAAAGGAATAAGGAACCTTGTGTTGCATAAGGTACCCATGTGTTGCACATGCAAGGTACCCATGTGTTGCACATGCAAGGTACCCATGTTTTGCATAAGGTACCATATGTTTATGGTCATTAGCTAGAGTGCCATGTGGTGGTGACCTCTCACAGGAAGGTTCATAAGATACGACGCCTGGATGGCGTGGCTGTAATCAAGTAATTGCATCAACTATTGGATTGACACATTGTTTTCAAACCCTCTAATGCCATGCATGCATGAACACACACACACACATATGCTGCACAATAATAATATCCTCATGCAACCACATACACAACAGGTGGCTGCTGAGAAGAGGCTGCACGGTCTAGAGTATAGTCACGTTATTAGAATGGGATGTGGGAATATTGGACTGGAGGAATGGTACGTTAGATATTTCGATGTCATGTATTGTTATTTTAGACTACTATGCAAAGCCCATTATCAATACAGTTATTGAGTTAAATAGGTTATATGATCAGTAAGAGCATTAGTGAGACGAATGAGTGAAATATCTAAAAGGATAAAGTATATTAATGATTGAAGATATGTGCACGTACATGTACATACGAACAACTAAAACAAGATACACCTACGAGGAAAGGGCCCGATGCGAGAAAAACAATTTCTTAGCTATGAGCAGCAGCTTTAATTGGAGTCAAGGGCTTCAAGGTAATCAATAGATGAAGTAGTGGCTTCTGAAAGACATAATAAAAATTATGGTCCAAGTAGTGTATAGCAATGTATTGCAATAAACTGGTCAATGCATATCCACTCAATACAGGTGTAGAAGCACAAGCAATGCAGCATTTATATATATTCCTAGTAAGAGAGACTAATGGGGGGACACTTGTAGCAAATGGCAACAAATTGCAAGTACATGTACTGAAGATTAAAGCAAGTCATCCACAGCAAGCAATGCAGAGTCTTTTGTCGCAATTAATAACTTAACAAAACTTCTACCGATTATAAGCATCAGTAATACAGGACAATTAGTAATGCGGCACATGCTTAGACTGTCAACAGTTAGTGTTTAATGATCATTCAGACAATGATCCACCAGTCATTGTTGCATAAACTTACAATGAACACTTTATAATTATGTAATAAAGGAATGCAATCAGTCGCATATCCATACACCTCACTCTTTCATTCAATGCTCTGGCAAATAAACAACTTTGCATATTACGTGCAGTTATGTCACACACACACACACACACACACACACACACACACACACACACACACACACACACACATGTACATGTACATACATACACACATAACAGAGTGTTTCCCTTGGTTAGGAATAAATTAATAATGATTAATTGATAAAACAAAGCCCAAGAGGGTATGAACTATGAAACAGGATAAAAAGAGAACAGAGAATGCTTACTATATATGTATGCATATGTACCACTGTGTCATGCTTGAGTCTCAGCTGCTGCTATTTGAGCAGCTAAAGTGATCCATTGTAGCCCGTCCTGCCTCGAATAAGATAAAACAGCAGGGGTTTTATTGTCTGGCGGCGTTGGAGGATGAAGGACATCATTAGAAGATGAGGAGGAGTTCCTAGCTTTTATAGAGCAAGTTGTAGCTACATGTATAAGGAAAATAAAAAAGTGATAACAGTGGCTTGTGTTAGAGGAATGACTGCTATTCACACACTGATGGAGTTATCACTACTTCATATCATACGATTCCCTTTCTCATCATTGACCTCTAATCATGTGCTCCCTTTACTTATGTATTGAATACACTCTAATATATGTACGTGTAGTATAACACAACAACGCATATCAGAGATGAATATATAAATAGGAATAGAGGGGGAGAGAGAGGGGGGCAGAGAGGGAGAGGGAGAGGCAGAGAGAGAGAGGGAGAGAAAGGAAGGAAGACAAACCACAAACAGACAGACAGATGCTACTTGACATATACGTAAACACAGTAGCCACAGTAACCAGGATAAGGAGAGAGAGAGTGGTGTGATGTGAGAGAGAGAGGCATAAATCACTCAATAGTAATGAGCCTCATAAATACATAAAGAAGTATTTTAAGACAACAGACTACTGTCCCATTACAAAGGAATGGAGAAAGCGACAGGAATGACTGGGCAGACGGCTCATCGTTACACTAGTTGTTAGGGACACAGCTTTAGTATGCAATCTTCAATCAACCTCTCGTTACTCTTACACACACCATAGTATCATTGGACACACACTCAACCACTAATAGCAAACTAATAGTTACAAACACACACACACACACATGTACAAACAGATGCCCACATAATTATTATTGAAATGGAGAATACTCACATAAAAAGCTATGTGATGGACTGCTTGGTAGACTTTTGTAAAATTCATTGAATTCAACCCAAAACTGGACAAGATGAGAAAAGACGGTTGCTTTGGATCTTGAGACAAGTTCTTTAAGGGCTTCAAACTTTTCCTCGTTTGGAGATTCGGCAAAAGACAAAGCAGCATCAGTCAGTGTGGTAGCTAAATCATTACTGATAGCAATCTAAGAGAAGAGAGGGAGGGAGAGAGAGAGGGGGGGGAGGGAGAAAGAAAGGAGAAAGGGAGAGAGAGGAGGGGAAGAGAGATAAGGAAGTAAAATAAAAAAAGAGGAGAGGAGGAAGAGAAACAACAACAGTATAAATTTAGAATATTAGAAAAGATGATTACCTTGACCCAAGGTGGTGAAGAGGTATCAAGAAAACGATTAGCAAGAGCAACAAACTTCTTTGACAAAAAATACTACAAAACACAAACCCACAAATTACTACAAGCAAGAGTGAATAAGCAACCTCAGAGTAAAAAGATCAACTGAAAAAACCACTCAATTACACGAATGGGTAGGCCTCAACCACCTCACATATATAACATTACACACACAAAGCATTGTTCCAATGATTGACATAATGATGAGAATAGACAAACTGACTTAACCAAACATCCCTTCAAGGCTCATTCCTACTCTGCATATCATCACTAAACTCTCTCACGCCATTCAGCAGTACAGACAGCATGCATTATCAGGGATTGTGACATACAGTATAGAGTTACACAAAGCATTGTTTCAGTCTCCACCAGTAGTGGATGACAAAACTAAACAATTACATATACACACACACACATGCCATTTAATATGTATATACATTCATATCAATGACAGACACAGACACACACACCCAAATAATTTGGTATACATGAAACAGACACATACACATTACATGCCATTGTACATATGATAATTTTGATACCATCAATCATCTCATCATAATATTACACTAACCAGATCAGATCCACTGACTACACTCTGTGAATGAAAAATAAAATAAATAAAATCATGTGCGTGTACGTATGCCACAATGAATAGTACTTGAAAAATGTGGATTTCCATCCAATATTGAGCACTATTGAATAAAAGGGCTGGGCAATCCATCGGTCCTCTTTCAAGAAGAAAACGTTCAAATGCTTTCTAAAGAAGAGAGAAAGAGGGAGAGAGTGCAATAAGACAAAAAAGTGAGAGAGGGATGAAAAGTCATTTGTAAATAGATTAAGGAAGGAAGGAAGCTAGGAGGACTAGACCGAGACAAATGAAATATCTGAAATAGCTTTACCAGCCAACTATATATACATAAGAAAGTTGGTGTTTATGTAACATAAAGTGTTAGAATTTACAAGACCAATATGCACATTGTTACATTAACAAGGTCAATCAAGCCAGCTGCTACTATCATGACATGATGCACATGTACTATAAAGTGCATGTTGTGTGTGTGTAAATTTCCTTTATAATAAACCAATGGCCACTAAGTAGCATAGTCTTGCTCTATCAATCATGGCAGGAATGAAGACTGTCCATAAACATCACAAAGATTAGCATAACTGTCTAATAACATGCTCTATTGGGTATGATCAGGCATGTAGAGCTTGTGTTGTAGCCCAATGTGAATGATATAAAGAGCCAAGTTAAAAAATCTATTCATTCAACTTTCAAATTGGATGTACAGTACAGAGAATGCCGAGGAGTCAGAGTGCATCCTCTTAACAAACAAACAAACAAATTGCTTTCGTTATTGTCATGGAAAAAATGTATCATTCAAGGAAATAAAAGTGGGAGAGAAGTAGATACAATTATAAAACAATGAAAAGATCAAATTTGTCATACACACACACAGACACGCACACACACAGACATGAGCATATAACATACGTACCAGTTTCTTTGTCTTCTCCTTAATGTTGTTCTCAAGGAAATGATAAAGCTTCTTCTCAACGTGATTGAGCTCCTTAAATGACATGCAATCCTCTTCAAGAAAAGAATGCATCAGTATCTACAAACAATACACACACAGTGACTCACAGTACAAACTATACTATCAACCAATGTGACAGTCAATGGACACATCATGTACACTGTACTTATATACACCTTCATCACTGAATAATCACCCATGGATCTGTTTTCTACCTTTAATTTGCGCACGGGCTTCTATTTGTAGCTTTCTACTTCCTTAATGCAAGTAGACTCTCGGTAACTTCAAGCTTTTATATTCTGTTCCGGGAGGAAGGCTTCAATTCTCTCTAATCATTTATGCTACCACACAAAGTTATCATTAAATTAGAGCACTTGACACGTACATATTGAGGAGCATGTAAACACTCTCATGCCATACATCATAACTCACTCACTCACATTCTCAAGGTAATTAGTAATGCTAGAGATAAGGATAGGAAGAGAGGGAGAGAGAGAGAGAGGCTGGAATACACTAGTAGAGCGTGTGACAAGTATCTTCTGATTAATGAGCAAAAAAATGCGTGGCAAGTATGTCAGAAAAGAATTAGTATCGGTATCTATGGAGAATGAGTGTACCTATGTAAACTACAACCACTTTAAGATATTGACTGGTATGCACACAGCGGAGCTTAACCACTACATGTTTCCTATTTTAGTAAAGCCATGACATTCCGTGAATATTATCTTACCATGTCTGGAGTAGGTCGACTAGACTGGACAGAGCTATTGAGTATCTATGATAAGGAGAGGGGGAGGGAGAGTAGGGGTGAGGGACAAAGGGAGGGGGAGAGGGAAATTAGTGAGAGATACGTCCAGAGAGAATTAATATGCTGCCCGCTGTCAACAAAAGGATATAATTATTTCGAATGATGACAATGACTTTAGATTCTTAATATAAGATTAATGATATGAGATAATGAAGAGAGGGCATGAAGTAGTACATGAATAGATAAAAGAGTACATTAAACAGCAGACATACAAAGAAGGATGTTGACATAAAAATCTACACCTCTACACACTAATGCATTATTGTACCCAGCAAAGGGTAGCACTCCAAGGTCACTGATTATTATTAAATTAGTGGCTTTTCTACAGAAAACTACTATTATGATTATTATTATAATTTTTATTATATTATTATTATATTACTATACTACCAAGAGTAGACGATACTATTCAATTTGATTTCGGTAAAACAATTAATATCCTTTCGTACCAGCGCTTTCTAAAAAAGTGGACAAGCATAAACATTAAACAACCAGTTCATGGCATTTGGAGCAAATTTAAAAATTCATTAAAAATCAGTTTTTGATCAAAATCAGCTCACATTTTCTACACAACATAAGAACATGTATAATGTATCAGAAAAAATTATAAAATGGGGAATTCTCTCATAGACATTTTTTGACAAAATTTGACTAAATACCAAAGACACCTTTGGTCTTTGGCCTGATTTTTGAGCCACTTTAAATAAAAATTTATTAAAAATCTAAACTTTATTTTAGATCAGCTCAAATTTTCTACGTAACATTAGTACATATGTATATGTACCAGAAGAAATTATAAAAATTGAGAATTCCCTCTTTTAGTCATAATACTCTCTAGAATAAAAAACTAAGCCCTAAACCCAACCTTGGGGACTCCTAACATAACTAGGGGACTCCTAACTACATTAGGAGATTGCTGCTTTGGCATTTCATTTCATTTCTACTTTTACTAATACCCATAATCTTATCTTCATATTAGAAATAACTTAAAATATTCACTTACTCTTAGGAAGTCAACAAGATCATCGGAAAAACTCTCAAAACTGCTCGACTGCAGTTCACGTAAAACGGGTGATGGTGGTCGCCTTGGGAGAGGTTTCTTTAAAGTCTTTGGGAGAGTTAGTGGCCTGTGTGCAAGCATGTGTATAAAATGAGAGCATAATGTTACGCACCATTGAGCACTTACACTTTAGAATGAGGAGATAAGAAATCGCTATAAGAAAAAGATATAAAAGAACATGGTATCATATTCTTTCCACTAATTGAGAGTGGAATAAGGAAGAGATCACTTCATGTTTAATCTAATTATTTCTCTCTCCCTTTCTCCCTCCCTCTCCCTCTCTCCCTCTCTCTCTCCTTCCCTCTCTCTCTCCCTCCCTCCTCTCTCTACCGATAGATCTTCTTTGCGTGATAGTTCTTGCATCCTTTGGGTACCTTCTGATGAAGCAGAATAGCCAGCCAAACCTCAAACGAGACAATCTCTTGAGAACCAGCTCCATAGCTATCTTCAAGGTAAGACTTAAAATCCTCAACTGCCCTGTAATAACAATTGATAAAAAACAAACTAATATCCACAGACACACATTATGCATGTACAATACTGTACATACATAAGAACACATAATAATCTGAAGCCATTACGCTGTATTGGTCAGCGATTAGTAATAAATAAGTATATTTTGGCAAAACAGAGTCAAACAATGCGAGCTTCACCCAACAACACATGAACTGGCATTTGATGATATATGCACATAAAACTGTAAACAGCATCCCCCGCTACTACCAAGTGTACGCATTGTGCAAGCATTCATACACAGCTGGTAAAATAATGATAATAACTATAGTACACATTATACGTTAGCCTGTAACATTATAGTTCTATGAGTTAATGTTTCTGTGCCTTGATAACGTTCCTATGGCAATAATGTGTACATGTAGCTTAATTTAGTAGGGGAAGGTATAGTAATACTAAAGTGAAGCTAAAGTGAAGCACATACTGAGGAGTAGGGAAGGCACCCAATGGAGTTCCACCAAGATCAGACATACTGAGAGTCACCTCCGGCCTACAAATGAACCTCCTGCCCCTTGAGATATTCCTTGATACAAACTGAGGGAGGAAGGGAGAGATAAATAATGACAAAACAGAACAATTAAATTATTAATAAAAATTACTGAAAAGGAAGAAAATTATAAACATGGCCAAGGGGAAATAAGCAGGACTGATAACAAAAACAAGAAGAAGATGTGATAATAATCATCATGATGAAAGTGAAAGTGAGCAGATATGGTTATCATTATTACCTGCTTCTTATTGTGACAAGGAGATGATGAGTTGGGCTCATTATCATCATTATCAAGGAGAGGGTCAGGTGAAGGGAACATTGACTGAGGTAACAGCTTCCATTGGACACGAGGAGGGAAGCACCTGGTGAGATAAGGAATGATGATGATGATGAGAGAGAGAGAGAGAGAGAGAGAGAGAGATGTAGCATAAATAAAATATAAATACAGTGGGGGTCAGTCCACTGACTATAAGTCTAAATGGAGTCAATTTTCAATTCAGTTCAATTACATTACCTCAATTACAATAATAATAATAATACTCACAGCAAATAAATGAAATAACAAAAAGTCAATTAAATTTATCATAGAAATATCAATTTTATTATTTGATTACCATGCACCCACACTCATAGTAAATACAAATGCTACGTGTGACGTACAATGTGTCTCAGTACTCAAGTAATCAGTGAGACAAGAGGGAAATGAGATACAGTTTCCCTTGTTAGTAAAAGCATAGTGACATCATTCATTAGCTTGTACAATACATGAATGAGTATCAAAATAATAATATCATTAAATTCATAAAGAGGCAAAGGCAGTGAGAGAGAGGGAGAGGGATGGAGGGGGAGAAAGAGAGGGAGGGAGGGAGAGAGGGAGGGGTGGAACGTAGCAAATCTACATACAAGAAAATAGCTAAAGGGATGAAAGAGTGACAATTACATGTATAACAATTAAGCCTGTATAACCGCCATAGATATACATGTACATAAGAATGTACACTTTTTATTAACATGAGAACATGTTACCGTTAATGCTATACCTGCAGTAAGACTCATAGTCATTATGCATGTACGTTGTCCACTTTCTCCTTAAACTGAACATCATTTTATCCTAAGAGGAAAAAACAGAACTGAAACTCAATAGGAGAGGAAGGGAGTGGACCAAAGACTTAAAAGGAATGGGAACTACGAGTAAATAAAAGAGATTCTGTTGATGAGTTTCTACTGATACTATACTGGATATCATTACCAATCAATTAAATAAATATTTGTGGAGCGCTCTAAAAAAACATTCCCACGGGTAGAAATGATACTAAAATGCTAGGAGGGACATTTGATGTATTGAATTTCCTTAGTAATGATATACTAGGAATAGAACCACTGCACTTTTGTATAAATAAAAATATATCAAATGACACATAGAATAAGATTAAATCAGACTCACTCTGATATCAGTCAGTGATTTGTTGATATCATCATCAGGTTTTAGCTCAAGGAGACTTGAGAGTCCTAACTTCTTAACAACCTCACTACCTACAGCATTAACATACAGACACATTCATTTACATACATCATTATGAATGAACAGGCCCACATGCATATGCATACACCCCATATGGGTACATGTATGTTATTCACATTGACATCCATTGTTACTGTTAGGATGATTTACACATAAGGACAGAGCCAAGATTCACAAAATAAAATAACGAAGCAGAAGAAATGAAGTCACACACCGTTAATAATAATAGCCTTAAGCAATCGACACAATAGAGACTAGATATGTGTATAGGCTTGCATAGACTGGCAGTGAAGAAATTGAGACATACTCCATTGATGACCTTAGTATATATATAGACTAGGAGTGAACAGTGGGCACACAGCCACACACACACACACACACACACACACACAATAATAGGACTAGTAACAATACACACACACACTCAACGAGCTAGTATAAACAGAGGAGTATGCAACATGCTTGGAGGATAAAGTGTAAATAAACAAATGTACATGTTCGTGCAGCCCCACACACTCGCATACACACAAACTTCCGACTATTGAGACATTTGCCAGTGACTAAAAATTATAATAATAAAGTATTTTACCTAAGGCTAAGGCATAGCTAGAGTAAATGAAGGCATGCACAGGCTGAGGTAATCAGTCTGGCATTGATACATATTGTATTTCACCACTCACTCACTCACTACTCTACTCTCACATTTTATCCTTATATATACATAATATACATGTACATGTACACATACATGTACATATACATGTAGTATTGACTTCTGGTAGTATGTACTTATTGAATTGATTCTGTGAATTATAATTATTATGGTCATTATCATATTACTAATAATTATTATAAACGTTACACATGTGCATATCAAAACAACATAGAGTCATTGTTATTTTAATACTATAGAACACTGAGCAATTAATTCATTATTTCTACTGGTATGTGCTGTGTAGAAATGGCGAGAGTTTTATTATGACAGCCATACGTATATCAGTGAATCTGTTAAAATGCTTGAAACAGGTGTAGAAATCCAGGCACTACAAATAGGACGTCCAAGCATTCAAGCAATGTAATAAGTTTAATTGATGTAACAAAAAAGACAAACAACCTCAGGAAACTGCTCAATATATTTAACATGTACATAAATAAATATATTTGCCCAAACAAAAACACGTACATAAATATTGTTCATATCCTAGAATTTTAAACGTTTAATTCAGTGAAGGGAGAGAGAGATACATTAATGTATGCCTTAATTCGAACTGATTAAAAGTGTTTCCTGTGTTGCAACAAAAACATTGTCTTGGTTATGTGTGACTACAATTATGAGGTCCAGTGGTCCGATGAGTGTATCGATCAGGTCATTACAATTAACAAGAAGGGAATGAGGATGTACCAAATTAATGTCAGACGCCCAATTCCACTAATACGATGATCATCATTATCAATATTAGGATATACTTATTAGCACATAAGGGCTCTCAGCCAAGTGAGACATGTGGACATATAAACTATAAAGGCTATCCAGATTCCAGACACTGCATGTATATGTGAAGAAAATTGACCTAGGACAAACACTTATTAACCATGGCATTACACTCATTAATGATGGGGTTACCCTCATTCGGGTCATTCCAACAGAATGTCAAAACATAGCGGCATCCCCCAGATGTCAAGAGTCTCTGTAAACGCCCATACATGTACATGTATATAGATGTATGTACATGTACATGTATATATGTACATGTACATGTACAACTGAAGAATATTTGATCAGAATTACAGCAGAGCCTCTGTGGACACTTTTGTAAAGTCGCTCTGTTATACAGAGGTGTCCTTTTACATGGATACAGTAAGGAATGTAATTGGTACACTAGGTGCTGCCTGTTAATTGGAGGCGTTTGCTACAAACTTTTTGCTACATGTAAATGGAACAAAAAACACTGTAGAGTATAAATACAATATCATTAATGTACACATACATGTAATGTTAAATTTTAACCCCCGCACACACACACACACACACTGGAGTAGTGAATTCATTGTGTTTATAGTATCAGTTACTCACTATACTTCCCCAGGCATGCGCTGATGGACCTCTTCTTCAGTTCAAAGTGTGTCTCTTGTTCTAATACGTGACCAATGTCTTCCCACACGTGATACTGGATCACTTCAGTATCAGCTGCTTCTCTAGTAGTAGTAGTAATAATAATAATGATGGTGATGATGTTATCTATTTCAATCCTAATATGTTCTATTTTTATTTATTTTTATCTTAACTCAACTCTACTCAACCTAACCTGTTTTATTGTTCATTTTTAAATATATAATAATAATAATGATAATAATAACAATAATAATAATGATGAATATGGTATACCACAATTAAGACACGTAATGGAATGACACAGACTAAATAATGATTGAGTACTTAGATTTTAAACAATGCTGTCATTTCAAATGACTGTTGAGCAGATAAGCATGAATTAATTGACAACACTCAAATCTTAAAAATACAAATAATTAATATTATTATTACTAATTTAATTGCATAGCCCAGAGTAATTGAATTTTATCTCCTCATCTTAGCACAAACAAGTGTGAATAGCTCAAATTAAAGTGACAGGATTTCTGCCAGTGGCAGGATTCCAAAGAATGTTCATCAAAGGGATCACATCTGAGTACTCGTTGCCTTATATGGGCAAATCTTTTGATGTTTTTCTAGCAGTAAAAACTAATCACTGAATTCTTGAAATTCTTCATTTGAAAATTTGCAATCATTCTTAATTGCTTATTGGAAAAACGCTAATTTATACGTGAAGAAAATGGACCTGAAACATACATTATTTTATACTGAAAATAAGCTATCTTTTTAAACCATTCTTTAGTGTCAGTACATTATTATTATTATTGATGCAGTGGATTATTGACGAACCTGTGAAGGTGGTCCAAGAATGGGTAACCAACTTTATTTTCAAGTAACAGAGTCAGGCCAACAAAATCAACATCGCTAGCATTCAGAGACCTACAAGATGCAGAATAAAAATAATTTAAAAACATACCACAATGCTTTTGAATTTTTAAATGTTAAAAAATCATAGATTGAGTAGTTTATATAGAGCTCCTTTTTTAAAAATTACATTCTAATTCACAAAAATTACAACATATAAAACTTTACAAAGACAAAAGGCATCTTAACATAAAGCACCAATTAATAAAATGACATTATTAATAACAATAATAATTAGCCTTGCGTAGCCAGGCTCCACCCCTTTTTGACACTGCCCCAACGTCAGGAGTCTGGCCACACAAGACTAAATAATAATGAGTCCATTAGAAACATTACTCATAATAATACTCCAATTAGGAGACAAACAAGTAGACACATGATGTATAGGTATAGTATTCCAGGTACATAATAAGTGCCCACGCTACATGTATTGCCCTTTACAATACATGTACATGTACATGTAACACATGTCGGTCATCAAAAAGCGATCAAATATGACAGCGTGTAAACATTAAAAATGCAATTTTAAATTTCCCTAATGGTTCGTAGTACATGCAGCAGCTGTCTACAAATGAATGCTCGACCTTTGAGTAGTAGCTATAAAAGACGGTCAGTAGCATAAGGTCATTAGGTGACCGATAAAGAGACAAAGGGCACAATGAAACATTATAAATTAGTAACAGAAGGATGAAATATGAGATAATGTCATTTTTCACACGCTGTAGTACTAGCATAAAGACATATGACAGGAAATATCAAGCATACATACACACATGCAATCAATGCGAGTGCATCGATTGTAAGGAATGGCATATTTCCAGGTGGACAAAAGAGGAGTGAGAAAGGTGGGAGAGATTATCAAAAGAAAGAGAGACCTTTCATGTGTACAATGATTGCTAGGGCAGAGATAGGATGCTGAGCGTAGCCACCAGTAATCAGCTAGTCTTTGTAACAGCTGAGAGAGAACATACTCGACCCATTTGATCTTTGATAAAGGACCACAATACATGGGAAACAATGGCTAGAAAGAGAGAGAGGAAGGGAGGGAGAGAGAGAGGGGGGG